TTGAAGGATAGAATAGATGAAACCCGAACTTACCGTTTGATGTATGCTGCGACTAACGAAGCGCACGCTACGTCCTTGGTGTTTTCCCCGTACTTTTGGATTTTGGCAGTCGGGCCACGATCTGGTTACAATTTTCGCCCACAAGTTGAAGCATCTACACCTACAAGTTGTCTGCTAACTGTCGCCATCATATCCGCCACTGTCGTTGGCGTATCTCTAATTTTCAGCGTCACATGAACTTTAGAATGATTGGCTGGACTTGTCAGTGGACAGTATTATCAGGCGTGAAATGTTGGTGAACTTAGCAGCCCCTGAAGCCAGCAAAGGACGGGCTTCGTCACACAACTCCGTCGTCCTCAATGTCCCTTATAGTTTTCCATTAGAACACGTTAAAAATGATCTTCTCCAAGCCCGTGGTTTGCATGAATCTGTAAGACCGTTAAAACTCTGTGAGAACGTGAGAGCAGCTCCAGATTTCACCCCCTGTCAACGACGGACACGTGTTTCTGCACCTTATGAATTTCCTCTGGAAACTTCATGCGAACCAAAGGCCACCCGAGGCATACCGGCTCCTGGGAGTCAGCTCATCGTACCGGATAACATTTCCGGTGCAGATCGAAAAAGGCCGATCGAGCTTGTTGCTGCTAGTACATCAGTTGCTACAGCTTCACCTACCAACATGGTAGTAACCATTGAAACTGAGAATCAAATATCCCACAGTTGTGCAGATTTATTCCCAGATAATGTTGACATGGATGGTAACTGTTATGGCGTATCCTATATGCACCCGATCCACCTCAGTTTGCCGACGAAACCTGCATCATCCAGATGCAATTACGCTGATAGGCCTTTACCACCCTAAGCCTCTCACATGCGGTGACGACCTCCAGGTGTGTTGACAGTGCACGGTCCCAAAGTGCCATGTTTGGAGATCCAAGCCTAAAAAGCCCAGTACAGGTTTGCCACTAAACCCCGTGATACAGAAACAACCCAGGTATCCTCGGAATAATTGCTTTCAGTCTGTTAAACCTATAAACAACTTCTAACCACAAAGGTATAGAGGCTGCACGTGGTTTCTTTTTTTCTGCCAAAATTTTAGACGGTACGCAAAATGGAGACATCGTTAATCTTTGGAAATGGACTATGATGAAGTCTTACCGAACTGGTTGAAAATCCGACCACTAAACGAACAAAGGAGTAAACTCAAAATGCCGAGAACCTATATCGTGAAGACAACTTTCAGCAATGACAACAGGACTCAAATGAGAAAAGTACGTGTTGCCAGTTCTCAACATCTCATTGTTTCTCGAAGGAATGAAACTTCGCTGCCACGAAAACTACCGTTTAATAAGTAGGAATTACCGGTCCCATTCGTTCACTTGACCCTTTCACCAAATGAACGTTTATCTACCTTCTGTGTGCTCAAATTTCCGGAAGGTCACAATGGCAAAGAAAATTTGCACGGAATGTTAAATCTAAGAGGTCAACTAACCTGTTGACTTCAAATTAAACGTGTTCACCACCGCTTTGGCACTGGCCTGCAGTTCTTCAAATGTCCATTTCCTCGCCCTACTACGTCTAATTCGGATGGTGGAAATCTATATAGCGTTGAACGGTACCGCTTGAAGGGAGGTCATACTTAGACTTAGGTATCCACTTCGGTTAGATGATTACGTTGAAAGTCACTGATTCTCGAAACCGTTCATGTTGTCTCTGCAGCCATCAGCATGACAATTTACGATAAAATAGACGCTTATTTGGTGTAGCACGGCACCGTGAAGACGGGTCAAACGTGTCGACCGCTTGTAATGGAAATTTGGAATATTCCGCTACCCTGATGCCACCCATGGTGAAAAGAAGTGCAACTGAAAACGATATAAACTTTAACACACTACACTTCCTGAAAAGCGATATTTCCTTGTTCATCTCATAGCCAGGAGAATCTTCTGATGCTTTTAGTACAGTTTAATAACCTCTCTTCTTTTCCACTCAGGACCCGTAAAAACTTGCAGACTTTTCAACGCATATCAATATGGTGATGTCTACAGACTGGCTTTCCTGATATTAAAATCCTAATATGACAATAAAAATATTTATGTATTTGTACGATTTCAACAGGCCGTGTTGTTTGCTGTGATAGCATAGGGGGAAAGGAAAAAAATGTTTGAGAGACACAGAATGGGCTTAGCTTTATGGAAAGGGGAAGGCCCTCAAAATCAGTGGGATTCGGTCAGACACTATCCGTCAACGTTGTTGTCCTTCATCGTCTTGGCAAGCGTGTTTGGCTGAAGGCATACGGCCGAGCATTTATGGCAACTGCATGTTGATGTGCCACTGTATCTTAGTCAGCCAGTTCACGTACCTCAGTAACTTGGGATAACTTGTCCTATCGCATTCCTCCTTGGCCTCACACGCGCGGGTATTCTACAAGCCAGGGGGTGGCGGCTGGCCTCCCAATCTATCAAGTTTGGGTGAGGACTATTCGGATATTTGTACCCTCCTGAACCTTCGTACTTCCGTTTGAACATCTCTGATTTGACTGTCTGTTGGCGACACCTCAAGCATTTCAACCTTCATAATGGAATGCAATGTGAAATTAAATTCCATGGCGCCTGTATTCCCGTGATTTCCTGAGTTTTCGTAAATTCCTTTCGCTTTGGTGTAACCGACCATGAGTTTTGTCATCTTCAAAATTTCATTCTCGCCACCGTAGAATCTGTGAGTCTACCCACCCACCGTATTTTGATTCCGAAGAACCATACGTGTTAGGTATTAGAAGTGCATAGCTCATGGACTTCAAGCTTTCTATTGGACGTGTAGACGATGAGGTTAGAAATGTGGGTTTATTCGCTGAAAAACTACCACATGATAATATCATTTGTATAGCGTGCCACGTACTGCATGAAGAGAGCCACTGTAGCATACCTATCTCGGGCCAGTCAACGTTTATACAAGTGTATTGGGAAGCCACCAAATCATACAGGGGTTGGTTATTCATTTTCTTAATATCTCTTCGAAGTAAACAGTTAATAATTAACAATTAGCGATTATAAATCACCATTTCGCCTTTTACCTGCTAATGGTAGTGTTTCCTCATCTTCCGATGGTGCATTTCCATATAAAGTTGGGGGAACGGAAAGCAGTGTATTGGTTTCGGACAGAGCATCCGATAGTTAAGTAGTGAATGTGAATATTCCTGCTTTCCACCGCGACTCTACACTTCCAAATGTTTCATCCACTTCCGGTTGTTACGTCATCTTCGGCTTCCTAATCCAAAACACCTCTTCTGAAGAAGCGTGTGTCATTGGGTAGCATCCATCCACGGAGCAGGAAGACGAGTTTTTCGTCTAAAATGTTGGGTACCAAGAAATTTTTTTCTGAACACTAGGTGGAGGAATCACAGAAATGGGAAATTGATGAATGCATATCTCGGATGTGCAGTGATGGATGACATGCAAATCAGTTAACTCGTCACAGAAAAGTATGCTTCCGTTAAAATCACCATGTAAAGGAAGTTGTATATGGGAGAAGGTTGGCCAGATGTATGCAGCAATGACATCACTACCTCAAACTTCTTAAGAGGAACGACGGTGCAGTTACACATCCCGTCATCTACAGAGCTCCAAATATATTCATGTCCTACTGCCTAGCACGAAAGTATACCCATGTGACTTGATGAGAACAGCTCTACAGGAAAGTTGACAGTGTCTTTATACGGTCAAAAAAGTAGTTTGTCCGGTTCGCTAATATCAGTCGCCAATCCCTCCTGATCTCTAGCTGTCGCTGCCTTTCCCGGACCGCAAGCGCTTAACACATGTTTCGAAACGTTATGGTGCTGTTCATGACGTCTACATTCGTGTTGCACCCCACCACTGCAGAAACCGGCTTCGTAAAGTGAAGTTTGCCTTCTATGTACGCTTGCCTAATCCAGAGTTGAGCCACTTGCCCTGACATGGAGTAATTACTGTGCAAAGAGCGTCGTATTTTCCGCATGCAGGCTTCCTGAAGAAATGCAGAGAACGTTTCGTGCTATCATGTTTTATCCGTTAACGCACCTATCAGTTCTAAGGGATCCGTGATGGGAGAGAACGCGTTCAATTCGTGCACACAGTAGGTCCGGTTCCCGTTGCTAGTAATTCGATTAACACCGACGCGTATTGAAAAGACCAGAACGCGAATAATGCGAACGATGTATTTCAGGCGCATTCCGACCAGCAAACCGAAAACCGAAAGAGGCGCGAATTGTATGGGGCTTGAAGAAAGTGTGTGGAAAGTTCCCGGGCATTCTTGATGCAGACAAACATCCAAACAGTGTGACATGCCTGAAAATTGGGGGAAAAGTTGAGGTTCCCACGCATGTGCAAAGTTTAGGGTGCGACCGAAAGCATGTGCAAAGAAATGAGTGCTTAAAGTTGTCATACAGAGTCAAGGGAGGGATTTCTCTAAGATCGACTGGCCCTAAATGAAAAGAAACAGTCGACACACAGTTGCTTCCATGTATATGCGCCACCAAGTGGGCGATGTTTCCTTCGAAAATCCATTGGTCCATTGTCTTTACACCTGCCCGGCATACTATATATGAACATCGACTGTCATTTCCTTCCTATCTGATGCCTCTAGTGACATACCGATAAGTTCCTTGAGAACACCGAAGTAAATTAGATGCAAGCGACGTAAACGAAACGTCAGGATCATGTCCTTTAGGCAGCACCTCTGGATCTGACTTGCCATGATGGTGTATCGTTTGAATTTACTGGCGGAACCTCGAATCCGTCCACGAGCTACACTCCCCGTATGCATAAACCATCCTACTACCAACCTTGTAGTCCCCAACGGTACACCCGTCACACCCTGTGGTGCTATTGCGGCTAACGTTCTACTTAACATACGAGCATGCAGGTGTAGGTCATCTCAGAATTCCGCATAAAATCTCCCCTGAATTGTATTTTTAGGACGTCTTCTAGTAAATTTCGAACATTTATCATTCATCTAGGGCAAACGTTTTCCGTAGATGACCAGTTGTATCGAATGTCTTCCACAAGATCCATCTAAAGTGGTAACCTAGTTTAATTGGCTGGTCTTCACAAAGATGAAAATGAGCTTCACCACGCGATCTTGTAGACGGAGTGTCTCCAGTTGTGGAATCTGTGAAGCCGAATGTAGACAAGCCGAAAACCTTAATCGCTTATCTAGAGGATGAAATCTGACAGAAAACTGGGTCTCAGGTCCTAGATGCAACGCTCACAAAGCCAGCAGTTTTCTGTAGCCTGCAAAGTATTGAGCACTGAATTTGGAAGCTAACCGGTCAAGGTCGCGGCTTTAAGCTGTTCGAAGAATTATGTCTTTTCAGACTTTGTCCGTAAACCTTTTGGTATTGGTGTTGTTTTTCGAGCTACAGTTTTTTAGGCCTATAAGACAGGGTTTTGGTCCTTCATTAAAGGTGCTCGAAATTATCATTTGGTAAGATATTCTTAGGTCCACTGTGATTATTTGCAATTGCTACATAGAATAGTTATTATCCTGCCTTCATGGTATACTAGGGCGTTTTGGTAGCTTGAAAATGATTAAGAAGTGGAGTGCACACTTTTTATCATCATTTCTGATCCTTTTTTATCGATTTTTCTGTGTGCTCGAAGCTTATTTGGAGTTTTCCCGGGACTTACTGCTGTACCTCAGATATTTGACAAATATATCTGTAGTACATTTGTCTTCCTTTCAGATATTTCCTAAGGGAATTTCCAAAAGTGTATATATGTAGATATGCATTATGAATAAATCGACATCGACAATTATATGCATGGGTTTTTAGTGCAATAAATTGTCTACACTCTCTACAATAAACAAGGAACTTACGAAGTAAACGTCTGTAAACAATTGTTTTAATTCCAAGATGTATATCAGTGGTAACTGTAAAAACTCATTACTTTAGGTATGGGGGAATGGATTTACGTTTCATTACGTGCATCTGATGATTACGCGCTTTGAAATTTAGTGTTTTATTTCGAGAGTGCTTAGTCATCTTTATTTTCACTTGTTCTTCCATCTAACTACGTTCTGCATGCGGAAGCTCATCAATGGACTCGTACGCAACAGTAACATTTGTGTGGTGTTAAAAAACTTTTAGCGGTTATGGTGCTATCACTCTTCTGTACTGTTTCGACAATCACTTCATGGTGTTGTGGGACCAATGTATTTCCTTCATCTTAACCTTTGTCACAAACTCACCGTGAAATCTAATCCTGTACAAATTCTAAGTATCTTGTTTTGGGAATAAGCCTACATAGAGTTCGAACTTAGGAACAACAATTTTTATAAAAATGTTGAATGGTCTCACGGGCAGTGCAGAACGGCTGCCAAACTCGCGAATGATAGCAATGGTATGTGGAAATGCTTACTTTTAAGTCTCCTCTGGTGTCACAGTATTTTCCTTGCTTATGTGTATGCAGATTTCCCTTAGTGATTGACTGCCTGAGTGACAAAATCAGCGTAGAACCTCGCACTCTCTAAGTAAGTGAAGTCCGCATATTCCACCACTTTTACTCCGTATCATTAAACTGGGAGTACTTACAGACTGTCCTGGAGCATCATCTTACATTTGAAAGGTGCAAAACGCATTTCCGCTCAACGGATTCAGAAGACCCTGCATTTTTTCAGCTTTATCACGTAGCAGGAGAATGTCATTTGCCTGCTGTAATTCAACCAGATGCTCTCCAGGGAGTAGGTCAATCACTGTCAAGTCAGACTTACCTAAAGATATGTAAATTAGTGCGTCTATGACGAACGGTGACATCGGGCAACCCTGCCGGACACCACTGGTTGTCGTCAGTTCTCATGACAATTCTCCATAAACCCTAACATGCCTGCGTGAGTTCAAGTAGAAGGCTTTGATAAGCATTATTTACTTGTTTGGAACTCCTTTCACATTCAAACACTCCCACAACACCTCATGGTTGACAGAGTCAAATGCCGCCTTTGGGTGAAGAAATGTGGCTAGTGTCGGCCACTGGCCGGGAAGTAGACCTGTGTTCCAGAACCTATCGGATGGACCGTCGTCCAGGTCTGAAACACTGTTGGTCTTCTCGAGTTTGCCGTTCTCATGCTCCAGTTAGGCGTCGGATAACTATAAACCCAAGGGTGTTGGACACAATATTAGTCAAACTAATTCCCCTATAGTTATCACAAGGAAATTCCTCTTCTTTATAGACTGCGATTATCAGTGAAGTGCACTAGTCTGGCGGCACTACCTCTGATTCCCATACACTACCTAGTATGTCTGTCACTTTATTGAGCAGTTTCCTACCTCTATCCTTGAAAACGTATGGTGAACTGTCAGATCCTGCTGCTTTGCATTGTTTCGGGTTCGATACAACCTCGACCTCACGTAGTTGTTGGACCGACATCTACATCCTATTCAGGTTCTGGCTAGTTGGATGTTGGTTAGCTGAAGCGTTAATAAGGGGCAGTTGAACTGTGCTTCAAAGTGTTCTGCCCAATGTTCTAGCCACCTGCCCTGGAAGATTATCACCGTTCCATCCTTTTCGGTGGTGGTTTCACGAACCATGATCCTCTCAGTATCCTTAATAAACCTATGTAGTTGCCGAGTGTTACCCAACGCTGATGCCTCCTGTCTCTCTTACTTTCGTCACCCATCACTACTCGTGGTCATTGTGGAACTTGTGCAGTTATCGTTTGCGCTGCTTTCTCTCTTCATCGCGGTCATAGCCATCTGGAATCAGTGTTTGTCGCATAAACTAGTTTGGATGACGTCGCAGAAATCCAATGACGTTTGCTAACCTTTGGATGTAGGTTATCATCTGACTGTACCGCTGTTTCTACAGTAGACTTCATATCACGCCAGGTTTTTTAAGGATGAGATAAATGCTTAGGTATTTCTTCCCCTAAATCAGAACTTGGCGTTTAATAACCATACCCGTGTCCTGTATACGTGTCCTCGAGACAGCATACATCCACGTCAAGAGATTCCGGAGATTTTGCGAGCGATGCTTGCTGTCCTATGTGGCACAGATTTCGAACGTTGAGAACTTCAACATGAAATTGATGACGGGTTCTTAAAAGATTAGGAATGAGGTTTCGATTTCTTTTATCGTTGTGAATGGCTGGAGAGTGAAAGGTCGGATAAGGCGTAAGAGGCTTGATATTAGTATCAGGAGGTGAAGGCAAAGAAGGAGATGGAGTTAAGGAGAGTAGGTTATTTTTGGTGGTTTCTTATGTACTGTAAGTGTGCAATCCGTTGACACTTACTGGCTATTTCTTCTAAAAGTGCCTGAAACAGAAAATGATTTGCGTGACCCCAGATCCCATGAAACATCTGCTTGAGACCTGTCATATTGCTTTTTGTGGGTTATTATTTTGAGGTTTGGTTGTTCTAACGCCGGAGAAAAAAATCATACTGTCGTCATTGGAAGACCATGGGGCAGGGAGGAGTGTGCTGTTTTTTGGGCCGGCCTTTTCTAACCTCCCCTTCCCACTGGGAAGGCAGTATCAGCGTGACACTACTGGTCATCCAAGGATACACCTTACTGCTGCCACACCACCTAGCAGCAGTACCACTTCGTCCTCAGACCCCCATCGTAGTATTGTAATTCACATTACAGCAGTAGCTACTTTTCGTCTTACTACTATCCAACATACCTTTCTGGTCTGATTGGACCTCGACGGAATTAAGCGTCCCAGCAAGTTTTGCTCATCGGGTCACTGGTATACAAGCCCGACCACATTAGGGTAACAGCTGTCAGCCCTCATTAGTACGTAGTCATGAATTCGTGTGCATACTTCTCCTACTTCTTCTCGAAAAGGCAGAGGGTTCGTTGGATGTTAAGCGTGTTGGTGGCTGACTATAAAAGGAGTCAATTTGAATACACTCAGCAACATGGGACTCGGCGTTACTGTCTAACGGTTCAGGTTACCACACCTCATTTCGGCACATCAAGTAGGAATGCGCTGAGATGAAAAATAATGGGATAAGGAAGAACTGGCCAAAAGCAGAAGAAAGTAGTTAAGTGGAAAAAGAAATGGGAAATTACTGGATTCAATATGATTATTAAGATGATAATGTGTAGACACATCGCCATTGAGATGGATTCTGAGCCATGCCATTTAGAGTCTTCAACCACTTGTTTATGTTACCGTGCAAATCCCAACCTCAAAGTCAAACTTCTCCAACACAGCTGAGATTAACAGTGCTGATACCATGTTTTAATCTGATCACCCCTAACCCTTTCCTAGCCTAAACCTACTTCACCTGACGTTGTGCGACAAGGCAGACGGTGACTAGGAATGCGTAGCACATCTCCTAGCCACCTGACTTTGTAAAGATTCACTACTGCATCAACTGACTTTCCTCTCCTCTCTAGAACCCTACACGACTTCTACATTACTGGCGCTAGGATACTACGGCATGGCCTACGCTACAAAGGCAACGGTAGTTAAATACCTCAAACTTTCTCATCTCTACCTTTAATGACCATGTTTCGTAGCCATACAGTAGAACAGAGCAAACTACAGTGCTGTACTCTTGACCCTTAATTGACAGTCGGATATCACTGAGGTGCAATGGATGGAGTAAGTTGGCGGAAGCCGAGCTCTCCTTTTGTATCCGTGCAGAAATTTCGTGGGTTACTGACTCAGGCAAGTGAAGAAAGACAATCAGTGACTAAGTCTAGTCAGAGAGTTTCATATCTGACTCGCATACACTAGTTAGCTCTTCGGTTAATTTGACCAACAGTCTCCTACCGCACACCTTAAGTACCTCTGTTTTCAGTCCGTTGGGTCCCTATACTCTTCCTCGTTTTCGGTTATTTACAGCTTTCTAGAATTCACGTAGGAAGGCTTAGTTGTTAGTTTTCTGAAATTTAGTTTGCTTGTAACGTACCGCGAACTTTCCAGCAATTTTAATGGCCAGTTCAGTGACGCAGTCTTATAACACCCTTGGTTCAACCAATCAATCAATATTAACATAGGACCAGGCATTACTGCGTAACGGTCCGAGTTGCCACAGCTCATATCAGAACATCAAGTAGGAACTTAGTGAGGTGAAGGATGATAAGAGAAGATAAGAAGATAAGAGAATGCAGTCAAAAGAAATATAAAGTACGAGAAGAAAGAAAAGAGGAATGACAAAATGGTGAGATTCGGTATAGCGTCGTTAAGGTGGGGATAATGTATATATACATCTGCGCCACTGACATCGGTTCTGAGCCATATCCGCTAGAGTCTCCAACCATTGGTTCCTCTTGTCCCGCGGACCCCAACCACCTGGTCTGCGTCGCCCTACATGGCTTAAACCAACAGTCAGACTTCCTACATTGGTGCTATGTTTTAGTCTGGCCACCTCGGGCCTTTTCCCAGCCTGCACCTACTTCGGCCAACATCGTGTGACGAGGCAATCGGTGACTGGGCATACGTAATACGTGTCCCAACCATCTCAATTGATGAGGGTTCATAACCTCGTCTACTGATTTACCTCTGCTCCCAAAAACTCTACACCTGACGTCTGCATTACTCACGTGGTGACACCACGGAATACGTCCTATACTACGAAGGCAACGGTGGTCAAATACCTGAAGCCTTCTCATATCTTCCACTTTCAATGACCATGTTTCACATCCATACAGTAGAACAGAGGGGACTGCTGTGCAGTACACGCGACACAGTAGTAAAACGGATATCATGGTGGCGCAAATTGGCAAAAGCCAATCGAGCCTTTTGTATCCGTGCAGAGATTTCATCGACCACTGGGCCAACAGGGTTGATCCTACTTCCCAGGTAAGTGAAGTGGTCGACACACTTAACCACTTCACTCTCTATTGTTAGCCGCGGCACCGTTGAAGACCAGTCCTGGAGCAAAAATTTGCGTTTGGGTGGTGAGAACTGCATCCCAAACATTCTCAAATTGCCACTCAGTGTTCAGAAGACTCTGCATCTTGTCAGTGTCTTCACTTAACAGGACTATGTCATCTGCATATTCTAGGTCTAACGAAAATTCTCCACCGATTAGGTCAACGTCTGTATAGTCAGCTGACGAGAGGGGGACCTCCATAAGTATATCTATGATGAAATTGAATAAGAATGGAAACAGTGGGCATCCTTGACGGACACCACTCGATGAGCATAGCTCCCTGGACAACTCGCCATAGGCTCTAACATGCCCACAAGTTTTCGAGTAGAGAGCCTTCAATAAGGTGATGTACTTACTAGGCACGCCTTCAGTGACATATTGCCATAAACCTTCTCGATCAATGGAGTCAAATGCCGCCTTCAGGTCGAGAAATACAGCTATTGTTGGGCATCTGTAAGCGTGCCTATGTTCCAGGACCTGGCGCAGGGTGAATATTTGGTCGATACACCCGCGGCTGGGTCTAAAGCCTGCTTGCTTTTCTCGGGCTTGCTGTTCCCGAGCTCCACGTAGGCGTCGGAGAATTATAGAACCTAGGACTTCGTGTACTATGTTCGTCAGGCTGATTCCTCTGTGGTTATCACAAGAGGACTTCTCGCCTTTCTTGAAGACTGGGGTAATCAGTGATTTAGACGAGTTAGAGGGGATCGTATTTAATTCCCATATACTGGCTAACACTTCTGTTAACCTGACTAAGAGCACTCTACCACCATTCTTGTATACCTCAGCAGGCAGTCCGTCTGGTCCTGCTGCCCTTCCCCGTTCCAGGCTACCTACCACTTTCTCAATTTCTTCTAGTGTTGGGGTGCCTGTCTCTATGTCCCATTCAGGGTTCTACTGGATAGCGGGCAACGCAATGGTGGCTGGAGGCCAGTTAAACTGCTCCTCAAAGTCTTCTGCCCATCGTTCCAGTCGTCTCCCCTGCGAGTGAATCGCAGATCCGTTCTTCTCTGCTACAGCCTCGCTAACCGTTGTTGATCTTTTCCCCCCAGTCTCCTTAATAAGTCTAAATAACTGTCTACTATTACCGATCGCCGCTGCCTTTTCCATCTCTTTAGCCTTCACTGCCCACCACTGTTCACGATCGTTGCGCAGACTTTTCATCAGTCTACTTTTAAGTTGTGCTCGCTCTTCATTGTACTCAGAGCCTGCAGCGAGGCGTTCACGTGCATCCATTAGTTCGGAAGCTGCTGCTGCTATCCGCTGGCTCTTTTTAGCCACCCTTGGTTAAAATATTTCCTTTCTGAAAGTATATACTTCAGGGGTATATTACTAACTAACATGAGTAGTTAAAAAACATGCTGATCTGTTGTATTCGCTGGCCAGATCAGAGTGATCTAAATACAGAAGCGGCCTGTAAGACTGGTTTGCAACCGAGCTTATTAGAGGTATAACTTGACAAATTCAGCTCAGAGGATTAGTGTCCTTTTAAAAAGAATGAATCTATCTGGCTGAGTTGCACGGTTAACCATAAATGGAACACAGTGAATGTCACACTTTTGTTCTCTTCAACCCATAGATAGTTTTGTATCAAAAGAGGAGAATACACTAGTCTCTTTTGGTTGTATTTATAGTTAGGGAAGCCTTCGTAACTGAAACCAATGTGTCTAAGAAGATGCATAAAAATTAAACAAGTTTACCATACCTGTTCTATTATGACGGAGTGTACTTAACCTTAATTGATGTTCCGTGGTATTACAAGTCAATGGGAGTGTATTCTTATGGCAGCCTCAGTAGACCATGGTGTACTCAAAACTCAGAGGCTATCATTGTTCTTGCTTAATTTCTTTATAAACAAACTAAGTACCTCTGACTTTGCAGTGATTAACCTACTCCCCAGTTGATAGCATCTGGTTGACTTAGTACTCAAATGACATTGTCCTGCTAATTGATAACTCTGAAAAAATGCAGGGTCTTCTGAATGTGTTGAGCAGAAATTTAAGCATGTTTAGAATGCATTTAGCACTTTTCAAATGTAAGATGATGCTCCAGGACCAGTTTGCAACCACCCCAGTTTAATGATAGGGAGTGAAAGTTGTGTAATATAGAACCTATGTCAAAAATTAGTTTAAAGATTCACTTATTTTGTTTCGCATTTGCTTTCATAATTTACTTATATACTTAAGAGTACAATATCGAATGCAGCCCAAAAGAAAACTGTCACTCTCATACCAGGTGATGGTGTTTGGCCAGAACTCTTTGTCTGTGTTAAATCTGTTTTCAAAGAATTCAATGTTCCTGTAGAATTTGAGGAAGTTAATCTTAGGTGAGAGACTATGTCGTAACGTGCTTGATGCTTTTATAGCTTTACTGATTCAGATCCGGATACTGGTCTCAATAATGTTGTCAACTCTATCGTTAAAAATAAAGTCGGTTTGAAAGGAATTATTCGTACACCGATTGAAACTCAGGGAATTAGTGCACTGAATTTAAGAATGAGGTATGCTTACTTATTTTTGAGATAATGCCAAATTTTGTTTTGTATTGTTACTGTGTATACCCTTCTTTAAAAATATGTTCACCGTACTGGAAGTTTTGCTTACAAAAAATATGAGAAATGCTTACCATTACTCGTTATTCTTTGTTTATCTGACTGCATATTTGTCTGTGGCCACGATTCCCTGTCCAAATTTTTAAGTGGGTATATTTTTATAACTGATTAAACCCTAGTGCAACCAAATAGAGTAAAACTTCATATATGTCTGTGATCCGTATGCAGATGTGACTTGTTCTAACATCCAATTTCCAGTCAATAGGTCAATGGCGTAAACCCTGCTCCACCTTCTTCGACCTAACCAGGTAGTAAACATTATACATCAATAAATGTGGCTCATAGCGTGGTACGTAAACACATGCGACGGGTTACATTAATTGATTGATCGATCAATAACTAGACCACACTCTTTTAGCTTATGATGCTACTTATTCGCCCATAGTAAAGTTGATGATTCGTTGCGGGAACTCAAAGTTGAACATTTAAATTCATAATGCACATGTCGTCTTGCCAACAGTGCACGTCGGGGTTGCTTGAGGCTGGACGTACTTTACACCTGTGTCAGGCGCATTCATTCTTATAGGTTCGAAAAATCATTGATTAGTATGCTTTCGTCGCCTTTTAGTTTGTATCCAGTCTCAAGATTATTCTAGGGCTTCACACTAACGATATAAGGAAGTCATTTGTAACTTTATTATGCTGTACGCATTTAATGGCTATTTATCTCAGTAGTACGGAAGCAGAGGGATTTTTGTGCAGTGTACCTTTTTTAACAATTTAGTTGGATATCTTGCCGGTATCAGAGATGGAATAAATTAGCAAGTCCCTACATTTCCCCACCAAAACCCATTATTTTGGATGTAACTTCTCGCATAAGTGAAATCAACACATTAAACCACCCTACCTATGTTTAAATAGGGTTAAACCAGTTCAGAAGAATCACCCTGCGTTTGACAGGTGCTAAATGCCTGTTAAATATATCCAAGTTTTTGTAGAAGTCATTAAAAGAGCCTCTTTCGTCATTGTGGAGATGTGGCTCAGTGACTTAGGAATATGACTATCAACCATTAGGTCACGTTTTCAGCCCCCCTCGACCTATCGAGGTTCAGGGAGCCAGGTAGTATCACTAGTTCTCACACAATATGAGTGGCTCACTACCTACTGCATGGATGTGCAGTGGCTGAGGGTGTTTCGTTTTTTCGTTCGTTCTTTCGTCATCTCCACTAAACATGACAAGCTCAGCTGAACACCTTATTTTGACCAGTTGTTTGCCGAGGAGGTCGATTCCTTAGAGGTCAAAGGTAAAAAAACCCTTATTTTCGGCACGACTATAGTTAAATTATGAAGATATTGAATCGGTGGACATTCTTGGTGAGCACATTTGGCCCTTGTTGACATTTTATGAACCCTTGCATGCATATATATATATATATATATATATATATATATATATATATATATATATATATATATATATATATGAGATACGGGGATTCTTTGGAATTTGGACCAAATTTTACTCTATAGGAAATAAAATTTTGGTATGGAATAATTCTCAGTATTCACTGTAGTCAAGCTCACGTCTAATTACGAAACATGTCGACAGCCATGCTCATACTTCATTTAATTTTCTTGCTCTTAGAAAGCTTGATTATGCCGTTTGCTGAAGTATTTATCCTGTTAGCAGGCGATTTTAATAGGTTTATTTCTTTTTAAGTAAAGTTTCCACTGTTCTAAGGGGAAATGAAAGTTACATTTCAGTACAGTTTATGTGTGAGATGGCTTTTCTCTGATTAGTTTTTGAATTAGGATTTTCTTCATTTATTGACTTACTCTAACACATTCTTGGTAAGCTCAATAATAATGCTGCTGAGCAAATGTATACAGGTTTATAGACCAGGGGATGCAGCATTCATTATATGAAACCCCTAATGGTACTTGGTAGCTGAGAGCTAGATAGGTGAGGTGAGGTTCGAACCTGTAACCCAGTTATTGAAAGTTCAGTACCTAAAGCAGCAAGCCATTGCCCCACGATAAAATGCAGGCACCAAAGAACGCATGGTACTTTATAACAGAATAGTTTTTCTGACACAAGAGAAGGTTGGGTTGTTTTTGAAATTTGATTTTTTACATTATATATTTTGTTGTTGCTCGCTTTACGTTTGTTTTGCTCACAGACGAGCTTTGGATCTGTATGCGAACGTTGTTCATATTCGTACTTTGAATGGAATTCCAAGTCGTCACCACAACCTTGATTTTCTAATTATACGTGAACAATTAGAAGGAGAGTATTCATCACTTGAACATGAATCGGTTAAGGGAGTAGTGGAGTCAATGAAAATTATTACGCGACAGAATTCTGAGCGCATCGCAAAGTTTGCATTTGATTATGCTGTTCGGAGTAAGCGTAGAAAAGTAACTGTTGTTCACAAAGCCAACATTATGTAAGTTGATTGGATTAATGAAGATATCACATTTTCTCCAATATGTGCTTTCCATTTAGAGATATAATTTCCTTTTTCGTCATAGATACAATTTTGAAGAGTTGACCTCGTGACCACTTTATCTTAGGCGTAATTCAGTAACATGAATAAAGTGGTAATGCATGCATTCATAGATGAATAAGTGTATTACTTTCCTCAAGATACTTTCGATTATTGCCATCTGAAAAGTCCATATTGTTATAGAAAGTATTGTCACCAGTATAGTTTCTGGTTTCTATTCACTAGCCGTGTTAACACTTTCTCATTGCTGTTGAAATCCTGAACTCCGTCAAAGATTTTACATCCATTACTTAGCAAAATAATTTTGGTGACCAATTGTCTTACTTCTTCCAGCGGTGTAGGATTTCAGAAGATTGCTTTGTATTTTAGCACACAAACACTGCAGCATAACAACCCTGTACACTTTTTCATACTAGATTGTGAACCATACATTGTGTGAAAGCTTATAATATTACCCAGTTGCTGAAACTAAAATAAGTAGAGTTGGAATCGAACCCGGAACTTAATACTGAAAAGTTGAATGTTCAAGCCAGTCAGCCACGTCTCCATATTGATGATTCAAAAGCATTTTCAATCCAACTACTGCAATTATATTCACGCTAATTTTACATGGTAGCTATCAATGTGCACTAGAAAAAACCAACTGAAGAAAAAGGGAATTCTTAACAATTATTTATTATGGTAGATAATAATTCAGGATAAACTTCGATGTGCAATCTTACTGTTATTGGTCAGATGCTAAGTGAATGGTTGTTTTGCTCTGCGACATATTATATGAACGATACGATTAACTATAGAACAATGATTTCTCAATATGATATTCAGCGGATACCAGAAAAAGAAGACAATGGGATTGAAAGTATATTTACTTCAACCGAATGGTGCGATTATAGCTGAAAGTTTAGTCGTTTATTTACCTTTTTAAAGGCCTTGATCAGGGAGAAAAAAATAGCATACTAAAAGTGTAAAATGTTTAGTGTCTTAAACTGCGGTAAAATTAAGTAACATTGCATGGAGCGAAAAAGGCCTGAGAATAACATTTGATTTTTACAATGAAAATATATGCATAAGTTGGTTTTATAGGGATCAGACATCCGTAATAATTACCAGCCATCTTTTCTTAGCGTAAATCATTAGGAAATGGAATGATTATTTTCATCTAGGATTCAGTATCATGTAAATTTGGTTTTACAAAATAATTATGCATTTTGATATTTAAATCCGTAAGAAAGAAAATACATTTCTGTTGAAAGACCCTCATTTTTAAGGGAAGTCATAAGCTTACAGGTTCATAATGGTTGTACCTCTGATAAAATTGTTGGTACAACCTTTTCTCAAATTAGATTTTTAGGGAGAGTTACAATTAGTTTTAAATGAATAAACTGTGATCAACAGAGTAAATGAAACAATAAGCAATCTCATTCTAGTATGTGCGTGCTATCTCGGCCTGGAGGACTACTTTCCAGGTGAAATAATCTTCCACTGCTATTGTATGGATGAAAGACTGCAGCGGTCATCTAGTTGAAATATGCTAACACTAGGAAAACACTTAGGGAGGCAATGAAGAAATACAATGGGATCACTGTGTTTTATTCAAACAACTGTTGCAAAGTCCGATCATCCACAAAAATATGTTATTATAATTTTATGATTAATATTTAAGCTAACTCAATGAACTTTGATTTGGAGAACTGGAGAGTTTAACTGTTAAACAGAAGATGCGCTTTGGTTTTCGTTACCCGAAAATGTACCTAAACATTTATTGAGGTGTTTCTGCTAGTAAAAGATCAGTTTCTGATAAATGGTAACCCACGAGAATAACTTCGAATGGGAATTTCTCAACAAAGTTTAATTACAATTGAAAAATATTGACAACTACAGATAATTTTATCTTTTATGCTTGAGATAACCAACTTTACCTAAGTACACACGAGGTATATATGATTTCTCTGAAGTATATTTACATATGCTGAAAGACATACTACTCGTTTACACGAGCAATTCAATAGTTTCAGTGATGAAGAGTATGTTGTTATTGTATTACTTATCGTATTTTTGAAAAACCTTTTCTGCAGGAAATTAAGTGATGGTCTATTCCTTGAAACGTGTCAGAATGTAGCAAGACTTTATCCGCATATTCAATTCAATTCAATGATCATAGATAATTGTTGTATGCAACTGGTTAGTAATCCTCAACAATTTGATGTCATGGTTATGCCTAACTTGTATGGTAATATAGTTGATAATCTTGCCGCTGGTCTGGTGGGTGGTGCAGGTGTCGTACCAGGTGTATCCTATAGTCATGAGGTTAGTTGGAGGTTGAAAATGTTTTTTACCTAGTTTTGTTGTCACAATTTATTTTGTTAGCCTATTAGTTTTCATAGAGCTCAGTTACTAGTATTTTTCTATGTGGTTAGTAGTAAACTCTGAACTTACCCCATGCATATTGGCGCTTATAGATGAGCTGTTTTGTGGCACTCAGCGGTTATTTATTTTTTATTTCGGATTTGAAACCACCTTGCTTAGTTTTGTAATCCAAATAGTACTGGTAACCTAATACTGAAGAAGGCTAAATCGTAGACATAGGTTTACGTTCTTATCGACACTTTCCAGCTATCTAACGTCGAATACACTACATGATATTGTCAATTTGCTTAGCTTAGTGACCAGTGAAAATATTGGTCTATGAAACTTGTTTCGTACTTAACAATTTGAGACATACTATCTTCTGAGAAATTTATGAAGTGTAATAGTGTTTCAGACAAACAAAAAGTTCGTGCCCCTTGGGTTGAAGATGAAATCGTTTGCATTTGTAATCTAAATCTTTTGCACAACTAAAATATTTACACGATCGTACATGTGCTTTATTGTGTATTATATATGTGATTTACAGCTGTGTACATGTTCATTTGTTAGGCAAACTGGTTGATGAAAATTAAGAACATATTTTCTGTTGGTGGAAACGATAACCACGTAGCCCGAATGGCAGTGATCAGTGTCTAGTTTTTACCAATTGCTATAGGTTTCTCTACTGCCGTAATACACTCCGCAGCTATGGACACATGTAGTAGTCATTAGGCCACATCTATTGTGTTCTAGCTGATGATACTAACTGCCTGCTCAGACCTTGGTTTGGTGGAGCAGGATTCCAACCTGTAACCCATTAGTTGAAAGTCAAGTTTCTAGACCAAATAACCATAGCTTCCTGTAGAGAGGGGTACTATCTGTTCAGCTGCTTTTTTTTGTTAAAAATACTTGCAAAATAAGAATGGACCAGATTCAAATGCTTATTTTGTGTCCTTGGTTCACTGCAGTCTTTAGGCAATCAAAACATATGAAAGTGTATGTAATTGATTTACTTCTTTAAGTTATTTAATAATCTTAACATTTTTGACATACAGTACTTAGCACAGTAGCTTACAGCTTTGCGTTAACTCATGTTTCATTCGTTTACTTTGTGTTTTGGTTTTTAGGTTGCAGTTTTCGAACCAGGTACAAGGCATACATTCGCTTCAGCTTCAGGCAAGGATGCAGCTAATCCGACAGCCATTTTGCTAGCCAGTTCAAACTTATTGCGTCATATAAACCTGGAGAGTTATGCTAATAAAATTGAAACAGCCGTGGTCAAAGTAATTAAATCAGGAAAATTGTTAACTTCGGATGTGGGTGGGAATTCGTCTACAACAGGATTTACTGAAGCTGTAATGAAACAAGCTCATTCTTCAAGAGATCATGTTCATGTAATTTAAAGCCCAAATTGTTTTGACTTATATAGATGTCATTCGTCAACTGCTTTCCTTTGCACAGCTGTCGTGAGTTGAAATCCTACTTTAAATTACAAGTAGACAATCTGTTTGTGTTCTGGTTACATAAAGAAATGCTTAAATGCTGAGGATTGTCAAGTCACATTTACATAAGTACATATTGAGCCATTTGAGTTGTAAATAACTGAATAGTTATGTTGTTTTTGTCATTTGACATGGATTTTGCTTATCTGTTGTACTGAACCTAATCTAGCTTAGTGACTTACGCCAATGATTACTAGTTTTTTGTCTTTCTTGTCACTTCAACGTTTATATAATACATTCATTTTCGTTCCTATTTATGGTTTTGCTGTTGACTGCTTTAGTGCTTCGATGAAATAGTATACAGCTGTTGCATCGTTAGATTTTTTAGGTGTTTTTTTCATGTTGACTAAGTTGCTTCATGTATTTGCTCATAATATGTGAATGATTTTTCCGCCGAAAGAATCCTAAGAAAGCATCGAGTGAACAGCTGATCCTAATCAAAGCTATTCTCAAATTAATCAAGCTATTGAGACCAAATTTAACAACAATTCGGCATTATTTATTCATATCACTTGACAATTGAACTTTCAGAGTTATTGCGTGAAATCAGCTTTTTGAATCAAATAAGTTTAGCGTGAGTCTGAGTAGGTGTTAAACGACGAAATACTTCGCCCATTTTGCGAATAGTTTGAATTTAGAAAATGCACATGCGTAAACTCGGTAGATTGAACGTTCACGCAGGGCATGTGGTCTCAAGATTCTAGAGATATTTCAGTAGAAATTCACAGATTAAGAGTTATCAAGTATGAAGTTCCCCATGATTGTCACTGGTTCTTCAGTCAACTTCTTTTAGAAGGTAAGTTCTGTTTTCCAACTGTTTAATCTCTTGAAGCTTAATTATTTAGAAAATCCAACAAAAGGCAATTTGGCGAAAAAAATTTTCTATTCGACGAATCACTTTCAAAAGCTGTGGAATCGTAATCATATTTACTTCGAAGGGTTCATCGATAATGGTTATCCTTTAAGATTAACTGAGAGAAATATGAAGCCTAAGTATTTCCAAGAAGAAACCCCTACGGTTTCAAAGAAGATATTGTTTATGAATATTGGATTCAAAGGAGATACATTAGCAGAGATATTCAAGAATCGATTGTGCAAAGCACTGAAGAAGATCTTCTTTTGCCCCCAGCTTCAGACTGCTTTCTCCGGTCGACAACTGATTCGAGAGTGTGTGAAGGATAAGCTATCGCTTTGGGCCACCTCCATATGTGTTTACCAATTCACCCTATCTTGTGAAACTGGTTACATAGGGCGTGCAAGTGTGTTCTATCCAAACACCTTTCCGAACACTATCCTACATGGCTGTGTAAAGGACAGTGTAGAGCTGTCAACAGCTCGATTCTCGAGCATTTGGCTATCTCTGGTCACTTTACTCGACGAGAGCCTTCTTTAAAGGTCATTTATAAAGTGAAATCAAACATTTCAAAAGGAGCGCGAACCCTTTACCACAACACAGCAAAGGCTTCGGCGATCCAGCGGTACCAGCCTGATCTATGCGTTCAAAAGAGATGCATTCAAATCTCTCATTTTACCTTGGTCGTAATCTCCCTAAGATATTTTATTCATTTCTTTGTGAACTGTTTGTTTATTTGTTGTGATCCTTTCAGGAATTTTTGATGACCTTTGGTTGACCTTCGAGTTGTTATCACCTTGTGACTTTATTGACCGTTTTTGATGACTTTATATTGATCCATTAGCTATCGATGGATGTATATATTTTGTTGTAAGTATGGTTACGACTGTACAGCTCTTGGAAATGATTCGTCGGTAAGGAAATTTTTTTCGTTGAATCGTATTTCGTTAATTTTTCATTATCTAAATAGGAATATTTCGAGAAAAATAGGTCCACTTCTAAAAGATTAAGTCACAAAAAAAGGAACTTGAAAGGTAGATGGCAGAATAGTTAAGAAATATGACCACGTTGAGCAGGTTAGATTTTGGTTTTATTGAGTACTCTGAGCTGGATTGTTTACTAGTGGGGCTTTCATCGTCTTTCTAGACGACATCATCAGCACAAATTTTAGTACGAAGTTAGATTCTCAAAAATGAACGCTTTATGCGTTAAATTCGTAAATTTACCTAGTAGGAATTTGAATTTATGTTTTCCGCACCTTTTTTTGCCTCCCATGTACAGCTTTTACCACTTTTAACTACTTCATTTTCCAACTAAGTGTACTTTTACCTTTAATATTTCATTTCGTCTGTTTGCATGAAAAACGTCTCCATTGTGTATCAACACGTGAGCTGTCCCTCTATGTCTCATAGTCTTCCGATTGAAGTAAACAATCTTTAGTCCACTACCATCTTCCTTATGTTAGCCGAATCGAGTATCATATTCGTTCATTAAGTATCCAGATTACGCCCCTCTACTTATCTGTGTTGGCAAATCTTGGCAGATGAGATTTCAGCTTATGACATTAAGATGAGGAGTGTATACTTCTATACCACTGCCACTGAATTTGACTTGTATTCACGTCTTTATAATCCAAGAAGTATGTTGTTTTCGCAACTCTTAAGCTAATTATTAGTGGTTTTACGAAAATGTGCTATCTTTCAATTAATTCAGTAAATTGCAACTCTGACTCATGTTAGTTCAAGTATGTGGATCCTAGTATAATATCCTTGCCAAGTGCTCTAACCGTTCAAGTTATTGGAGAGTTGAAACTCTATCTATTCATCGTCTTTACGCGTTACCTTAGTATTATTCACTGAGTTGTTCAGGAATTCGCGAATGACTCTTTGAAGATATTAGCAATCGAATACCCACTTGTAACATAATAACATCACAATTGAAAAGATAGATAAATATTTTACAAAAAGCGAGATCAAAAACTTCGGCTGTCAATTTACCAGCATTTCGTGCAAAATTTACGTTAATCAGCATCGAGGTATAACATTACCCTGGAGATTAGTAAGTAGTAAGTTCAACTTCCTGAAAAAAATAATTGTCGGTTTTCTTCGTATAACTATTATTTCATGTTAACTAAGGTGTACCAGAGATATAGAAATTATTTATAGTTTAAACCACAAGGTTCGTCGTTGTACATACCAATTTTTGAACTCGAATAAACTACTAACAAAACACCATCAGTATGTTTAATAATGCAAAATATTTGTAGTTGTTGAAATTTTATTGCTATAGAATCGATAAAATATATCCAGCTTACAAATCTTAGAAAGAACTAGGTATCCTAGGTTTCATTACTGACTTGTGATAATTAATTAGTATTCTCCGAACTTTGAGGTTTCTTCTTGAAAGTTTCTCCGCCAGGCTAGGAGACTTCATCAGCATCTACTTAAAATAGAAATGAAGCATTTTCAGGTTGCATAGGTGTTTATAAAGAATATTTACCGAACATGACCGTTATTGGCTTGTGAGTAGAGGTGACCTTTTCATCTTTTTTATCAGAGGTTGACCATCATATTGTGTTTAACTCACTATCAATCATAAAGCCGCCTAAGAAGTAAAATATTTTGCAGCTGTCACTAAGCGTGGATCACAGCGAAACGGTCAAAACAAACCTTACTAAGGCTTATTCAGTATTTTTACTTCTCTCATATTTCTTTTGATTCTTTTTATTTCGAAAAAGAAAAAAGTACACTTATGAATAAGCTTTTTAGTAAGTATCTAAACTGACCATTCAGCAAATCGTACAGTTTGCCGGGGATAGATAATGGCTTTGTGATTTAAAGTTATACTTAATAACAAGATAACTGACAAAGTGCTTTTTATACCTCCTTTCCCATTCATTATAACTAATAATGCTTGTAAAAAGTCAAGAAAATTATTGTAGAAGTCCAATTATTCTCACTCTTGGTACCTGTCAGGTGTACTTTCTATCGCGGTTATAAAATGGACATTGACCCAGTGAAGAAACATTTAATAAGGCTTCATTATCCCGAAAATCAAAAAGTAATAACTGTGTACAAATCGGTTGCATATCGACTCATAACACAGGAGAGTAGTTTAGGTATCTGTAAATCAGGCTTGGTAAAAAGCTTCTTCGTATTCTTACGCCTGCTAGCTCATCTTAAAACGTAGCTTCTACTAAATTTGCTAAGGTGTTGTATTCATTTGTAGAAATATATTGGCTACTCGTGAAAAGTGACTTCACGGCTGTATGGTTTTAATTCTGGTGAAGTGGATTTTGTTAGACTGTTGCATTGTAAGAGTAATAAGTATCAATCAGAGTGAAGCCATACAAACCCTTATGACAAGTACGGAAAACCATGTTTCGTAGATAAAATTGACTCTAAGGACTACTTTAACTTCCACTGAAATAATCAGTTAAGTTTCTTTATTTTCATTGGTTAGATAGCTTTCTATGAAATACGGATACCTAATCGGTTTTTTGATTAGTGGATGGAATGACCTTGAAAACAAAACATCCAGTGTGTATCTCAGTATAAAATCTGTCCTTTAGGGTTGAAAAATTTTCACTCCGTATATTCTAACTTCTCTACAAGTGTATTGTTCCAGTGTGTTACATTGTTATATCAGTGAAGTGATGTGACACCTAGAGCACAAGCTATTCATGCCTCATGGTTAAGTATCCCGTGTACCTCAAGAGTCTGTTTTATCCATATAATGAATCAGTTGTCACCGGTGAGACAAAAATTAAGTTTGTATTGGTATTGTTTTCGAAACTGCTTGATTCATCTAGTGGGTTTCAATGGCTTCCCAGCTGATCTCGGTTCATGATCAAGACTACCTCTGGAACGGTTTTCTGCTAAAGTGGGCTCTCTACAGTTACCGCAACCATGTTTGCTTTTCCACTCTTTCGATTTACTGATATAAAACAGAATTATTACTTCTCAAATAGTATGAATGCATCCTTGATATCCGAAGCACTGGATGGAATTTAACGATCCTGCACATGGTGTAGTCAGTAAGCTAAGTAATATGAGATTGTTGCATACTTTGACATCACATGCTTCTGATCGATAGATGGGGATCACTTAGTATAGTTTTCATGTTCTTTGGTAAATATCTGCGAATTATAGGTGATTATTTGAGATTAAAATTTGCACCACTCGGTTTAGAATTTCATATATGATAATTGTTGTGTGTTCTCCAGGCTAGGCGACTTCATCGACACTTACTTCATAAGGAAATAAGCCAAATGCCCTTGAAGTCACCTATCCTTATGATGAAACATTCAAGAACAAACCGTAAATCTCAGATGGCACCAAATGATTACCACCCTCATTCTGAGCTACATATCATCTTTTCCATCTCAGGAGTTCAGATATGTTAAGTTTCAATGTGTGTAAAGGCTTCCTCATACATTTATTTGTAATTTACGAACATTTTGTCTCGGATATTAGTTTAGTTTTCATAATTCATAGGAATATACTTTGTATATAGTTAGAGGTTTTTCTTCTATTGGTACATCTGATCAGATCGTGCCTAAATATATTGAATAGTCAGTTAAATTCCAAACAACAATGATTCGTTGTCACATACTTATGACTGTTGCTATTTTCATTCGAAATTCTGTCAAATAATTCCAAAAGGTTCATCTCGGTGGCTAGCAGTGGCATTCAGGACGCGCGCAATTCGACGCTAACAATGGGAAATCATAAGTGTCAAACGGCAACTGATACCCGTTCCTCAATAGGTGGCTCTCGTGGTCCACTGGATACCACTTTGGTGTTTGACGCTTTGGGTACTGGGTTCAAGTCTTAGTGGGAACAATATCACTCATAGGGGTGTAGGCACGTTCCACTGAAGAGTTCCAAATGGGATGAAACATGCGTCCTGGAATTCACTGCTGATCATCTAGATAAAATCAACATCATGAATCCTCAACAGTATCGAGGCATACGCACAAGAGTCCATCTCCCAACAGAAGTTGAGCAATTCATTCCTACATATTAACGGGAAAATACAAGTGTCAAACAGCAGTTCCGAAAGATGTTTTGAAAGCTTCCTAAATAACTTGATAAATTTCTCATTTAAATTATGTTAATGTATTTCCATGGTATAGGTATATCACACAATTCTGTAGCAACTTATATAGCTTTTCAGTAAACTAGGTAACAATATTTAATGCACAGAATATGTAGCTTTATCGATATGCTCACCTATTTGTCAGATGAGAAAAAAAGGAGATATATCTATCATTATTATCTGTCCACAGTGAGCAGTGTTTGTGTCAAGTTAATGGAGAGGTAATACACAAGATGATGAGATTCCTCAGATATGCTACAAAAGCTTATTACTGACAAAAGTCTAGTTTATTCGTCAGACATTATTTTTCAGTAAACAGCTTCTCAAGTTTGTTTCTGACTCAGTCTGTACTTTTGAACAAATAATTGTTTAGTCTCATTTGGAAATTGTTTCCTGGATTATCTGCATACCTTAGGAACTGTTTTATTCTTCAGATAAAGCCTAAATTTAAAGAATAACAATTCGTAACACATGTTTAAATTCGGACACTATTCTTTTGCCATAAAAATTAGAATTTTGAATGTCCTGCGGAACACACCTAAGTATTAAAGCAAGAAATGATGAATACATCTTCCAATTAATTAGCACAGCTTTCTGTGTTTTGATTTTTAGGTGAATAACGACTTCAAACGGAGTTTCAATGAACTGATTTAGTACAGAATAATTATCCCTCACAGTCGTTTGTGTATGCTTATTACGTCATCAATGTATCATGGTGGGTAGTTCGCCATTGTTAAAACACTTCAAACACACATTTGCAGATACAGACAAACAAGGACGAATGCAAAAGCCTCACATTTTAAGTAAAATAAAAGGAACATAAAACATAAGCGTTCCTTTAACTAAATGAGCCTGTGCACATATACATACATCAAATCATTTCCATATTGCCAACATAAATTGTGGTTAAGGATAGAATTGAAGCTGGTAACTTATGAAAAGAAAGAAAGGGAAAAACGATTCAGTTGTTTGACTTTAGTGAATGTGATGTAAATAACTTGATATAGTTTTCATATAAATCTTGGAATCCTAATACTGTTTAATTTTAATCTCAAATTATTTCTGATAGCTAATAGCATTAAAATAAGATCTTCTGTAGTTAAACAGTTATCATTATCGATCATAGGGCTGTACTTCTTGATTGGTTTCATTGTACGCAGGTCCTTGCCATACACCTCCGTCACCATCAGCTATTGTCATACAATTTGCATGTTCTCTAGGCTTGTTGATTGATTTACTCTTATTCATTCGATTGTTTGTTTCGATTTGCCTATTATGATGGTAATGTTTATTATTATTGTTATTACCTTCAGCATCATGGTCATGATCATCATCCTCATCATTATGATAAGGGAATACTGATGATAAGCTTTTCAACTGTGTTTGTCGTCTTGTTGTTAGCTTGGATGGATTTTTTGAGCACAATGCTGCTTTACACTGAAAGATTGCTTTGAATTCCTGTCGAAAATTATTATTTAACCAAGCATATAAAAAGGGATTATAGACCGCTGAACTCATCGCGATCATATGACATAATATAAATGTATGATGAAAGTAAACTGAACCTTCAGCTTTTTCACCGATTATATCCACAACTATCCAGAGAACATTCAATGGAATCCAACAAACAACAAATATTACGACCATTGCTATTAACATTCGATTTGTACGACGATTGCGTTTAACTTCAACTTCTTCTTTTTCTCGACTTTTTGGTCCAGATCCAATTTTTGTTGAACCTCTAGATCGAAGCACGCAACTTACACGGTAATAACATATGGATATTATCATACACGGTGCAACAAATTGCAGAATGAATGTGACCACTGTGTATATCTAGATGTTGAAATAGAAATGTGGGAAAATAATATGTAATGTAAATGAGTAGTAATTTAAAGGTAGACAATAATTTGATAATTAGGTACTCACTGACTGAAAATACAAGACTCAGCAGCCACATTAAATTCTATGAGGTAGGTTACAAACACCCACCCAGTTAGTGAGTGCCATTGTAATCCTGGGCTTTCAGGCCTTTTAGGGGCAGCACACTATTTGAGAGATGTATATAAAATCTAATAAGACAAACCCATATGACAGATTGAAGCGAATCAATCACTGGACAAATTTTGACCTTTAGTATTCTATTATCCCTATGGCTGATAAGTATCGATGGCACAGATGGCAAAATAAGAACGCTGAGTACAACCAATTACTAGTGTATTTGAAAATGGTCATTAGCAAACTGTGAGAGACTCTTAAGGCTCTTTCAGAAGCAAATTTAGTAAACAATGAAATTCTTTTATGTTTTGAAAATTCATCTATCTAACTGAAATAAAGAAACTTCATTGGACTTCAGGTGAACGTAAAGAAGACAGAGGTGACGAAGATACCGAACCAACAACAATAAGCACCAATCACCATCAACGGGAGAAATCTAAAGGAAATTGTCTCTTCAATCTACATAACTACCTAGGCAGCATCGTTTCAACTACAGGTGGCGGCGCAAGCACAGATAAGAACGTCAAAGCTAGGATCGGAAAGAAAGCAAGACAGGCCTTCATTAACCTGGAATCAGTGTGGAGATCTACTCCACTGGGAACCCAAAGGACAAATAATAATAATTAGATATTTCACCTGTTTTTTGAGTGGCGTTTGAAGTCATTTGGAAACCTATCACCCTTATAGCAAATGTAAGTGTGGAACTTCGGAAATGTCGTGCTCCTTCTATGATAGAGAATCACGTTTTTCATCACAAATGTGGAATTTGCTCTGACCCCATACTTTATAATGACCAAACCCAGTAAATAAAATAATGCCGATCAAAAGTTCTGTTTAGGCTTTTCTCAGTTGTCCGGTAGCAAATTCAATGAAATATGTTCTAACTTTTACTGAAGATGACATCTCTATTTATGGTCGGAAGAAACATTTGACAATGAAGATCAGATTTTATACTTAATTATCGGTGAACGAAAAAGTTTTTTATAATGGTTGAATGTTTACGAACATTGGACTGAAGAAGTGCATTGCTACTGAAAGAACACCAAGGGTTAAGTGCAGCGGTTTTCTGCAGTCCAATCTGACTTTCGTTTATTGCGTACCTAGTCGCAGAGAGTCACAGTTGGTATACGAGTCCAAATATCTAACGAGAATGCCTAAAAGAGAGGAAGAAAGATACACACACATACCATTGGTTTCTGAGCTGTGGTCCCGCCTTCTGTTATATAGCATTATAACCTAAAGATTGAAATAGTTCAGTTTTCTCGTTAATTATTGAATCAGAGAGACATTTATTCCTTATTACTATTTTTTAGCTCAGTCAAATCCTGTAGTTCCAATATAGATGAGACTGAATTACAGGCGCGTCACATCTGAATACTTTTTTCTAACCAGGCTATTAGATGTCAGCTCAGTTGACAGATAGGTATACATATTCGACACTAATGACTGAACCTGATAAAAGGACGCCAAATACTACTTTAGCAAGCTATCTGGAGTACCCTTCTTACCCTATCTGTATTAAAATTCTGCATCTTTTCAAATAACCGATTGTTTTTGATTATCCATCACTGCGTTTAATTTAAATATATGAATTACATGTGTTTATTTTAAAAAAAAAATCATATTTTAATAAAGAAAAAATTCTATGAAGGCAAAATTAGTGTAAATTTGACTGTTTGAAGTACACCTACGTTAGTGCATATGTCTGCAGGTAAATATGTGCGCATGTGTTACGCTTAACCGAACCGATTTAAATTTCAGTATACTACTCTTTCTCTTTTTCAGTACAAAACTCTGTCGCCTTCGATTAAAATTGGCGACATAGCTAGTTTCTATAATAAATGATAAGGAAGAAATATCAGTGTTAATAAAAAGGGTACACAGCTGAAGTATCTGATTGTATGTTTATGACATATGTTATGTGCCTAGGAAGCAATATGCACTAGTATAAACTTCATTCTTTCCACTTAAGGTAAACATTGATGTTTTGTTTAGTTGATTCTACAGTTTGAATATAACGTGGTGTGCTTTTATCACAATCTAGGTCAGAAGATGAAGGTAATCATTAGATTTGTTGTATAATAAATTATTTATTTGTACAAGAAAGAAATCAAAGAAAAAATAGGATTATTTATTCACATTATGAAATATTCAACTATTTGTTTGTCGAAACATATAGAGAAAGAATGTAATAAGTGAGTTTAATATTGTGTATTAAGGCAATATTAATGACAGTTTTGGATTCGATAAAGCTACGTCAATGTCCTTAAATAAGCATTTGAAGTGCTGACATTTTTGTGGTTATCCTTTAATCGAGTACAACCTTCAGGATAGAGTAATTTCACAAATAAAACTGACATTTTGTCCATTCATAATTTAAAAAACCAAATGACCAAATTTACAGAAGAACAAATGCATGTATATGGTTGACTGTCATTATTGACAAATTCCATCTGGCCCTCTATCTACACGTTGGTAGATGAATGAGTATGTTGTGTGATACATTCCCTTCGCCTTCACTTACTATTGAAATGAATACGTAAAGAAAAAAGAATTAGTAATGATCAGTATATCTTTTCCAGTTATTAGGAATGGCTAATAACGCAAAATTACATGATATCATATCGTTTCGAATTTAATATATTCGGTTTTAAAGGTAGTTTATAGAAAGCCTGGGATTTAATTTTCCCTTTTGTTGACACTCATTTTTAAACTCATTATTTCTGGTATTATCAGTCGGATGTTTCCGTTTACAAGGCTAATAAACATAATATTCTGAAGAAGAGAAACGGCTGTTTAACGAATAAACCATTCTGATTCGGTTAGTGAAATTCGCAGATCCAATTTAGCTGTTTCTAACTACTCATGCTGTTCAGCAGTATGCTCCCTAAAGCTATTTATTGCCCGTTTACGCTCCACCACAAGCTCGCTGATCACATAATTTAACAATTTTTAAAACAGTGAAATTGTATACGCTGTGAGCATTGCTTAACAGATTAAGTCGGGAACAATATTCTACATCATACAACAAAGTAACACTTTAGAATCGTTTTATATTGTTTATGAACAAAGTCAGTGTAGACGGCTTAGGATATTTTTAACCTTAAATTCAAAGGATTTCTCACAACACATTGTGACTGATTATTTCAACTACGGAGATCAAAACAAGAATAAGTATTCTTTCTGTAGTCACCGTATTAGATTCCTAAAAATTACAGTAAACCTTAACGCGTTTTTAAATTTATACTATGAAATTTATAACTTACTTTTACATTTTTTTTATCTGTCGAATGTAAATCATCGCATTATTATCTGTTTTACATACATTTCTAACATGCCAGAGGTTTTACTTATTCTATGGACAATGTAATAGTAATTAGGTGGCATGAGTGTGGTCTGACTAGTTTTAATCTTTCTAATAATAATCGCTTTATTCTAAACAATATGTATGATAAATTATAGGATTCTCAACATTTAATTTTCCAACAAATTCGCTCCCAGAACAATATTTTTAGACAAAATGGATTATTCATCTGAATAATGTGAAAAAGTACGCAAGGAAATAATGTGAAACAGCCAGCTGCTTTTGGATCACCGTCCTGTCTATAATGAAGAATCAACACCAACACAAGTGTAAGTTCAGTAGTGGTGGTTCATTCAGACAGTACAAGAATCTGTAGCTCAAGCTATCTGACCGAAGGACAGAAATATGATGTACTTTTGTGCACTGAAAAGTTCACTTCCACATAACGTGACATTTTTTCTGTTTTGTTATTGACTCGAGAAACAAAAGAGTTGAAAATACGTTCGTAGGACAAATTTGGCTCAATCAAACAAATTGAAAGGAAAAAATGACATATAGTTTAGGTGGAAATTCCTGGTAGCCCAAGGTTCAAGCAAGCTAGCTTGTAATGGAATAAACACCTTCCAGTTTAAGATGTGAGCTTCTCTTTTTCTCTAACTTGAGGCGTAGTTGAGAAGTGAGAGCTGGGAATCGTTCAGTGTTGAATCAATTTGTATTGGAATGGTACAACTAGTGGTAATCATAGACCCTTCATGGTTCAAAAAAAGATGTAGCTTACAGAAACTATAGGATATCACACGTTTGATACCCTTAGCAGTGCACTGCTTTTATTTATAGCCCCAATGACTAATATAATTCCTGACATTATTTCTGAAATTCTTCTTAACTTTCTGATATGTAGTTCAAATGAAACGATAAACATCATCGAGTTAATGTTTATAGTTACTTTTTATTACGTATAAAATGCTCATGGCTGATTCAGACAAGCCCTGCAAAATAATTTTTCCGAAAAGTCAGTAATGAACAAAAAACTTCTCGATACACAGTCTTAAACAGAACTTTCATAGGCACCACTTTTTAAATACAAGGTATCACTGTAAAAAGCTGATGCTCACCAACAATGATGACTTTTTGACAATATTTACAGCTGCTAAACACGATTAAAAATACTTAACATTTCAAGGTGTTAACCATTGCTTGGAGCCTTCAGTCATCGACAAGTTTCAGCATTTGGAATGAGTCTAGTAACATCATTTACCAAGACTTGAAGTTAGTAAAAATTACCGTCAGTCAATATTTACAGTCAGCAAGTTTTTAGAAATTTACTGCCAGGGTGTACTTCACATACACATATGCATGAAAATATTCTATTATTATTGGTCCCTTGGGTTCCTAATGGAACATAGGGCTTCAGTAGCACGTCTCCAGTACAATCTGTCCTCTGAAATCTTTTGAACCTGGCTCCACGACAGCCCAGAAGCTCTCATTTCCTCCTCGCACGATCTCCTCCATGTCACCCTCGGACGTCCAACTC